TAACCTAGACAACAGGCATGAAACCAGCCGCCGTACAACCCGATCCAGCAGCATCTTTGTACATTAGAATCAGCAGCCTAGCACGTCCTTTGCCCCAATAGGGGCTTTCAGCTATTACTGTAGCTCCCGGACGTTAAATAATTATCTTATCTTATCTTATCTTATCTGCCTCCTTTGCTTTTTGCCGGTGCTGCTGTCAACCTCCGATAGGCCTTGAGCCGAGACTACATTGCGCATGTCGCCTGGCTGGCAACGAGCTGCGAGGTGCTTCATTAACTTGCGGCCAAGCTGCAACGACTTGCCTTAAGACAATTTCATATCGCACAAGCCAGCAACTCGTGCCGCCAGGCCGTCGTTTGATCTCATGGAAGAGGTCACAGCATCCAGTGAGTCTGTCCGACTTTACCGAGCTTCAGGAGAGAGTGTAAAGTTGCCCTGATCTGACTCTTGGACCAGGCGCCGCATTTCTTCGAGCACTACGCAGTACTTCGCACGATGCCCCTCCTGATAACACCCGCGCTGGGCACGATCAATGTTCACGCGTTATCACAGCCCATGATACCGCCATAAGTTCCATTTCCATGTCCAAAGACGGCCGGCTCTTTGCGACAGGATCGTCGAGCGGTTGTGTCAAAATCTGGACAGCTACTGGATCTTGCATCTGGACCTTTGAAGCACATTCTGATATGGTTGTCTCAACACAATTTTCGACAGATAGTCAGATGCTTGCGTCATGGTCACACGACCGGAGAATCAAGATATGGAACTTGGCCCGTGGCGTTTGCAAAAACATCTTGGAGTGTCGTGGTGAATCAATCTTGGCACTCTCTTTCTCTGAAGATGATCGATTTCTGGTTGCAGGGTCATATGACAAGAACATAGATCTTTGGGATACGATTCACGGATCGCTGTTGCGCAGATTTGAAGGGCACAGTGATGGAGTCAGCGCCTTAACATTTTCCTCTAGCAGGAAATGGCTCGTCTCCGGATCCATACTGCGAGGAGAGATAAAGATATGGGACTTGGGACACGGCGAGTGTCTGCAGACTTTCATTGGGCACGATGACTCTGTCTCGGCTGTTGCCATGCCCTCCGTTGGCTCACGTCTCGCATCAAGTTCTTGCGACGGTTCGATCAAGGTCTGGGATCTAAGTGGGCGTCCCATGTTGATCCGAACCTTTCACTCCAGAGTACTGCCGACATCTCTCGCCTTCAATTCTGCAGAGTCTGACAGTCTCAAGACCAACATAGGCACTCTATGTATCGACCAGCAAGGTTTGATTGATACGCAGCCAACGTATGCTTTCTTCGAAGATGTCACTTTGCGCGGGTGGGGTGTGGACAGCAAAAGCAGGTGGATTTTGAAGGGAGGAAATCGCGTCTTCCAGCTACCTAAGAAGTATCACCCTTCCCATTACTGCCTGCAGCAGTCAACGCTAGCAGTTGGTACTTGTTCTGGAGATCTCCTTTTGGCGCATCTCCCATCACGCTCGTTACATAACATTGAGAACAGTCTGACAGGGCGGGCGTTCCCTGGATATGGCTGGGACATCAAGTATGAGCAGGAAAGAGCTATGATGGTTTTAGAACAAGCTGAAAGCCCTGAGTAGAGAATACACTAGGGTTCCTGGAACTCTCTCATTTGTACATGACCTTGCCATGCTAGAACACAGTCCGAAAGAACGAAACAGCAAATCTCTCTCAACTCTGAAGCAACGGTAGCCTACCAAATGGAGAACCCACAGATCTCGGAAAAACTTTGAGCCTCAAACTTCACACCTTCTGTTGCCAGTACCTTGTTGTACTTCTTTCTTTCTTCAAGTACTTTCCTTTGATGAAGAAAGCTTCGCGTTTCATTCCTTCAAAGTCGGGCAGCACAAAAATCAGACCGTTTCTGTGTTGACTGACATTCACTTCTCTGATTTCCTTCTCTTTGTCACAATAACAAATGCAAGACGACGTGATCTTTCCGTCTTGTTCATTGTCCACACAAAGTCGGTCCAACACATCCTCACCTACGGATTCCGGGAAGTATTCTCCTGTCGTTAATCCATGGTAAACCGTCATTTCGCAGCCCTTGAGGGTACGATCCCGAATACTGTAGGGGATAAGGGGGTTCACCGTGTCCAGAAATGTCTTGAGGTTATTCATGTCGTCCATCGCTAGTCGGATATGGCTTGAGACACCCTCCTTTCGTCCGAATACGAGCATCAAGTGCCAGCCGCCTTGCTCCATGAGGTCCTTTTCTATCTGTTGAGCGCTTCGCGGAGGGTCCTTTTCTATCTCTTGAGCGCTTCGCAGAGGCTGAATCTCTAGGATCTTCTCAACGGCCTCTTGTCGGGTGAAGATGCTTTCTACAATTTCGTCCTTCAACTTCAAGTCGTTGCCGATAAGAATAGGAAATAGGCCCTTTTCAACGGCTGAATCAAGCCATTTCGTGTTTTTGAAAAGAGTATCCCACGCATGCTGCCAGGGAGTACCGTCAAAACCTGTCATTTGTAGCGTGTGCGGTGAATAACGTTGGTTCTCGAGCGGCTAGAGGAGACTCTTGTTTGCCGAGATGGAGTTGCATTCGAACTAGTGGCGTCTCTAATTTGATGTATTTATCATTGATGGCTGGAGCACACGATGATGCAGCCTGATTGTGCTTCGAAGGGAAGCGCCTCTATCTGCCCTTCCGCAATACAGTGGTACAGTACAGTACAGTACTGACTCACCCTACTCCCGGTAGTCGGCCGGCCACGAGGGCAATATCTGGTTACACACATTTCCGCTCCCAAATTACCAAGGTCTACAGCTATGAGCGAAACCGGTTTCCTCGATTACACACTCTTTCGTACTCTTACCAGGCACGGACCATCACACAAAACTGGGGGGG